ATTTCCTATAGATATAGTTCTATAATTACACTACCTTCGTTACAGTTTCTTCGCTGAACTAGTTCGCGTATTTCTGATTATCATTATATCGTTAACGCACATTTGCAAAAGATTGTTATTTCTTTTTTTATCCTACATACATATCTATCTCTTCTCCATATCTATCCAGATAAATATTTTACGCTCTCATTACTACTATCGCGTTTATATAGAATGTCGCGAAAGAGCTGCTCTCGTTTTAATGACACACATTCGCGAACGAGACTGTCGATTATTATTCGAGAACCTCCCTCTCCTCCTCCTTCGCACTTCGTGAGGCGGAAGTTATAATATCGGAAGGCTTAATTCCACATCGGGGAACCTCGATGACGCGGTTTCTCACCCGTCCCGTCGGTCGACTGTCTCCTCGGCGCGCGGCGTGACGGCGCGGTGCAGCGGCAGCGGCGGCGGGCGAGGCTCGTTATCGATTTCGCGAGTGCCGCCGAGAGTGACTTAGCCCATTCGTTGCATACGAAAGACGACGACAGCGGCGGCGGCGGCGGTGGTGGCGGTGGTGCAGCTTATCTCTCCCGCGGCTCGCAGCCCCGTAAGACGCACTTACGCGTCATAGATTCCATTATATTTCTCTACTCGCGAGCGGCGACATTAGCGTATCTATCTTTGCGACGCTTTTTATCGCGCCCGACGAAACATCCCATTGCGTGTACCGTGTAAATACTGTAAATGTAGCGAGCGCGCCCTTTCACGTTCAATACCGCGGTATTCCGCCCGCGGACTCGCTGCTGACTATGAGCGCCGGATTCTAGTACTTTCGATAAAGTTGTTAGATATCAAGTTATTAGGCTAGAGAGATTAGTACAGGGTTTGTGTGTTAACTACTTAATCACCGGAGGCGTTCGACGTATTATTATCATGTACAAAAGCGCAAAATTAAAAATATTCTCTTAATATTTAATACTTTATACTTGAAATATACTCTCATATTCTTGCCAAAAATTTCTAATTAAGACGAAAACGTTTTTTTCGATAAAAGGAGTAATTTGCTGATATTTCTGCGATACTTTGTGTAAATTTAAACTTTTAAAAGTCACAAAAAGTCTTAAAAGTGTCAATATCGCCTTCGAGATGACGTGATAATATTTTGCTCGAATCAATATTCGACCAAAGACGGCCCTAATTGAACCTCGAATCAGGATAAAAGACGAGAGCACCTCTGCTCCATCTCTGGTCTCTCAGGCTAACGGCCAGTTCTAATCTTCTCCACGGCTTCTCTCCTCTCAGGAAATTCTATTATATTCCTGGCCAAAGGAGCACAGCGCGCTTTAATGCACCTCCGTTGCATTTCGCGAAACCGAATACACCGCTGCTGCCCCGTGTCCTGTCCCGTCCTGTCCTGTCTCCTGTCCTATCCTATCCTCTCGCCCGCCGCGTCCTTCCGCCGCCGACCTTCGCCGACGCGATATGTCGGAAGCGGAAGGTAAACTCCGCGCGAAAAATACGCACGGAGATACCGAGAAGCGCGCGAGCACGGCTTGGCACTTCCACGCCCGCGGTCATGTTTTCGTAATTAATCGGGCGCGATGTTTAACTTTAGGCTTTTAGCGCGGTTTAATATTTCAGACCGCGCGTTCACGCGCGGCCCGTGGCACAGAGAAATGCGTCGCAATTTTTATGCGCCCGTGCTCGCTGTCGGATAAAGAGATGAGAAACGTGGAACGCAACGTTATCTCTCGCCTGTTATTAATGCGACAATTGACGTAGAAGTATCGCCCGAACGTTCGAGTTTCTGTTTCTATTTCGTCTCGTCTATATGGTCTCGTTAATCTCAATATCACTCTTGTCGCGATAATTTTTAAAACCACACATATTCTCCTATATTTCTTTTACTAGAATTTATTAGAATTATTGTAAGAGCTCTCCATTTCTTATATTTTGTATCATACAGAGAATTGCAAGAAGATTAAGAAATAGTCTAAATTATATTACTTGTAATTTTGCGATAGATCGAAGGGGATTAGAAAAATCTCGAGATCAGCGCTTTTGACATTCCATATTTTTCTGATTATTCAGATTTTCATATTAGTTTTCAGGCTCAATCCGCGATAGAAGTTGCCTGTTTTCACATTATATACCGTACGCGTAGTATGGAACTTCGTAACTCGCGAGACAAGATAAATTTTGAATAATGCATCCTAAGATCCGCCAAGCGCACGACCGAAAAATTCACGAGACCGGACGGGGGCTTCTCGCTGAGAGGACGAATTATATCACGGCGCGGCGGGGTCGGAGACGGACGTTATTCAACACTCGAGTGGGCAGTCTCGTTGCATCAATTACGGATATCCATTAGCCTAATTAAGCCTTATGACACGCGCGCGAAATTGCGTCGTCCGACGCCCGCGCCTCGACACGAGACAAATGAAATGAGAAAAGAAATATTAGCAAATAAATTAATAATAATAATAATAAAATATGAATTGAAATCTAAGCGAGAAAAAACGCGAACAAATTACAAATACAAAAATAAAAATCAAATCAGTTGAAACGAAAAGTGGAACTGCAAACAGACTCGAGAGGGTGCAAACGATGTGAAATGCTGGTGAAAGGCGGATCAACGCGTAGATACCGGGGTGGCGAAATATACTTTGCCGAAAGTTTCGACAAAAGCGAGATACAAGCCTGCTCCGCGCCGCCTTATGGGAAATTACACGATGAGCTCGTTGGATTACCGTAACCTTCTCAACTAACTCATCTACCTCCCTTTTCCTCTCGTCGATCCCCTTTTCCGCTTTGTCGAGTCATTCTCGACGCCCATCTCTCATTCCAGGAAAGTTGGAGATCTCCTTTTAATGCCCGCCGCGATTTTTCCTTCAGAATATTTAAAAAGTATCAACGTGTCATCTCGACGGGACGATGATAAATTTGGGGATCAACGCGTAGAGGAGCGATGGTTCTTCGAAGGTGACCGAATTTTAGCAAAGCTTCGATTAATGTTCGAAGCGTATATATTGATCATCCAGCATACTTTTCCTCAAATTTTTCGATAATTTTACTGTAAACTAATTTCCACACTGTAATTTTCAATGTTAAATATCTTAGAAAGAAAGAGAAAAAATAAAAGCTCCTGGTAGAAGAGAACAAACTTAACATTGATTCAAGAACACGATTTCGTGAACTATAATACGTCGTTGAAACTTATACGTAATAATTCGTAACTACAAAATATCGATATTTCAAGAAATGCGCAATGTTCTCCTCTGGTTCTGATATTCGCAGTTCTGAGACATATACATACATATCTGAGATATGTATCTTTGAATCACAGTCGTCAGGACGTGCATTGAAGCGCGACCGGAAACATATGCATAATGCATAATAATACATATGCGGGAAGCTCAGCGTCGGGAAATTCGGTGAAACTGCGAGAGAGAGAGAGAGAGAGAGAGAGAGAGAGAGAGAGATTTTAAATTGGATTCAGAACGTGCTAATGAATCTCGCAGATTATCGCCTCTTACGTGAGCGTGACCCAACATGTGCTGGCATTCTCGTTTTATATAGAATTGCTAACTAATTAATAATTATGCAATTCGACCATACTACGGACGCTTTTCTCGCAAAAGCGTTATCAAACGATTGACTTATCTCGCCTAATTCAAGGAGCTTTGAATACATTGCTATATAAATACATGAAATCTCATTCTAAATACATTTCCTTGCAAGACGTATATCTTGTTTACATATTAAGATGTTTGATATTAAGATGTTGCTACAAAGCTAAAATTTTTCCCAAGAAAGCTGATTTTATATTATCGCAAAGAGCTTGAAGCAAGATCAGGATTATAAAATTTTACATGTGCATTATATTGTAGACATGGTAGTAGCCTGTAATGCAACACGTATAAAAGCACGTATTCTTTATTTATTTTGAAGTTATTTTACAGTACGTATATCTTTCGGATCTCATCAAAATGGAGATTCGCTTGTAACATACGTAACAAAATCTCTGCCATCATAGACAAGATATTTGCCATAAAACCAGAATTTCAATCATTGCCCTCGGCAACAAGTCCCTTTTTCTTTCTCACGCCCGGTCGATTAATATTCGAATCCCCGTATTAGAAAAGCCGAAGGGAAAGTTTTCGCGGGAGAGCGTGACATGTCTCCGGGAGACGGCGAATTAATTAGTCGGCGGGGCGAACTGATGAAGCCATTAATTACGCCGAAGGTTCGAGCAATTCCCTCGTCTTGCGGATCACCTTGTAAGCGGTGGCCGGTCGAACCCGAAATCCCGAACGATAAAACAGCGACTGCCTCGGCTCGGTTGAGCCGGGAGGAGGAACGTCACCGGACGAAACTTGGACAAAATCAGACAATGGTACTCCATTAAGAGTATCGCTTTCATCTTTGGAACGAAATCGGTCGAGTAGCTTGACGATTCTCGATACTTAACCTCAGCCATTCCTACGTTCTCGCTTCCTGTCACGACAGAACGAGCTTGTAGGTCGGCGGGGCTCGCGCTGCAGAGCGATTTTAAGCTCGGCTCCGATTTTAAGCCCGTTTCTTTATCCAGTGGAAAGGGACACCGCGGAAGGTAATCACGGAGAGAGGTTTTCGAACGCATCGGACAACAGGACCGTTGCAGACGAGGTGCTTGGTGAACAGGACAATATCTCTCTCACGGAAAAGAGAAATAATCTCTTGTGCACGAAAGCACGAATACTCTCCGAATTATATTGCGGTGAAAAAACAAACAGATGCTCTCTTACTTTAAGCTCGAATCTTTAGATATGAAATATTAAAATTCTTAGATGCCGTACGAAAATAAAATTCCATATAATTTCGGTCCAATAAAATTTCAGTGAAGGTAAAATTATATTTTAATTGTTGACAAAGATTATCGACTATAAAATACGCTATTACCGGAATTTACTACACATTTTACAAACTGCGTGCGCAAAATTAATAGGCGTATTAATTATACGAAATAAATGTCGACTCACCGAACGCGCCCTGGAAACGTCGAAATTCAGCTTGGACTGCTTCGCGATGATTCGGTGACGCTGGAAAAAAAAGACAAAGTCCACATTAATCCCAAAAAATAGTAGTCAAAAATGTTGAAATTATCATAGACGACAGAGCGTAACGCACATTAAAATGTAAAATTACAGATTCGTGCTTTCAGGCGTCAAATTGAAATGTTTCCAACATAACAATGGCAGACGTACATTACATATTAAACGTGTGACAATACATATTATATGCTACGTTTATACAATTTTTATGTTTCGTACGTTACAAAGTTAATTCCTACATAGAATATTTCCCCGTCTCTAATTATCAGTTATTTACATATGTACCTATCAATTCATCAATTACTATGAAATTTGTTATAACGCTCTTCATTAACGGTATGTCATAATTACAACCGGTGGTAATGGAATAATAGAATGTTCGTCTAATACCAGAATGAGAATAATGCCAGTCTATATAGCTGCGTAAATACACAATCATAGATTATAGTCGTATACTTATTCAGGCGTGCACTTGCACGTGAAAGCGCACCATTGTTCTCGTATGTGTATGTGTGCACGCGCCAAGTGCTGGACAGGAAATGGACATGTTCTAAACCGTATCGCGCAGAAGGGAAAGCAAAAGCGCCGTTCCCCCCGATCTGTTATGAATATAATTCTGACTGTCACGCGGAATCACCGCATTACGATTATCTATTATTCACGGCTTGAAAAAAAAGCAAGTAAAGCCGGTAGTAAAATGTAAACTTCACGAACTGGTCCGGCTTGACCTGATCTGGTTTGATCTGGTCACGGCGAGTATCTCGCTGACTTGAATGCGATCGCACGACGATCCTCCGCTTCCGGTATGTCTTGCGAACCGGCTCGAGGATCTCGGCGATTCTCGATACTCAACCTATCCCAGTGCGATCATACTTAGTCCTCGTTACAGAACGATGGCGAACAAGAAGCGGAGTGAGCGAGAGCATGCGCGCACACGATATATATATATATATATATATATATATATATATATATATATATATACACACGCAGAGACAGAGACAGAGACAGAAAGAAATTGCAGGAAGAAGAGGGTGGAAAGGAAAGGTGCAGGAACGCTATATACGTAGGTACTTCCAATTCGATCTCTGGTCTAAGCCTTTAATGCCTGCTTATTCGCTCGCCTGGAAGAGGATCCCGAAGAGGTATCTAAACTTTCCGAACGCTCCGCGGAAGAGAGCTAAACGCCGAACGATTTCGCTGCCGGCACTCTCGGGGAATACTTCTTTCCTCCACTGACTAAGTCGTGGCAATGGCTGTCGATAACTAAGCGAATTATTACGTCATGACGGAAAATACGAGGTCGATATATGAGCTGTTTATTTCGGAACAGAACAGAGTGGAGTCGTGAATATTCCTGTTCGGTCGTACATCTTCAAAATAAATAGCTCTCACGTAAGAGAGTCACGGTGAATAACTTTTGAATTTTGAGAAAACTGCAATTTATCATAATAAATATATGTGTATCTTAAATTATAATTCAGTTTGATTCAATTCATTTGTATCTGTAAATGGGTCATACTTCTCACATCAGTGGAACATACAGTGATATCGACATTCGACATTCAACATTCAACATTCATGTGTCGTTCATGAGTGCATTTATGTTCGCTGTGTAAATAGGATGAAATCATTTCGTTTCGATATTTGACTTGTACTACTTTTAAATAAACCATACATACGGAGCGTTTATTTTAAACTCTTTCAACGAAATTTGAACCTCTATGAATGTAAATTTGAAATGTTAAATATAAATATGAAATAGAAAACGCAAATTGTGTTTATGCTGTATCTATAAATTCTATTTTGTTCACACTTATAAAATGAGACAGAAACAATAAAACCTATGTAAAATCTTATGTTAATAACTTAGAAAATCATTCACTACGGTAGCACTCAATATCTCATTTGGAAGATTTGCAATCCTTCAAGCAGTCGGAAATAATTTTTGGCCGGATATCTCTATTAGCAATATAGTAAAATTGCGGAGCTTCTCTAGAAAAAAGGAAGAAGGAAATGAGAGAGGCGAGGAAGAGGAAAGGAGAACGAATCTAAAGAGAACGCGAGCATTACAACGTATATTCCGACATCGACTCGACTTTCCGCCAGGAAAGAAAAAAGATGCGGGCCAGCCGGAAAAAGGGAGGCAAAGCAAGCGCGCGTGCTCTATATCCCCTGAATATCGGCGATTGTGTTTTTTGTCAAGGATCGAAAGTGCCTCGTCTACCCACACCGGCGCGCTTTGACGTTTAACCGGACGCTTATCGATTGCGGAATTTATTTCTTTTCGTATCTCCAGTCTCGGCCACCATTGTCCTCTCGCGCTCTCTCTCTCTTCTCCTCCTCCTCTCTCTCTCTCTCTCTCTCTCGATTTCGATCTCTGTCTCTCTCCGCCATCCCTTCTGCATCCCCAATGCCGCCCTCTTTATCCCGAATCATCCGGCCAGGCGGAACCGGTCTCTCATTCCCATTTTGTTTCCGTTCCCCGACGGCTGTACAGATAGGTGAGATTAAGCTCCGCGATGGCGCGGCTGCGGTTATCAGGAGATTGCATTTTAGCATAATGGTTACGAGAGGCCGCATTGTAGCTCAGTTTTGAGGGACGCGCCATGATGTCGTTGCGCCGTGATGGGTGTCGGGGCATTTATCATGGACCAGGTATTTTTGCTTTCTCCCTCTCCGTTCTTCCCATCGTTCATCCTCACGCACGTCGATCCACGTCTATAACGCGTATACGGAATTCGTACAATATAAATTCCCTTTGCGACGTTGCATATAAGAAAGAAATTGTATATTAACAAATAAAACGAATTGTTTTCGAGTAACTTATATTGCTGGCCATTTTTAATTCCTCTCATTTTCACGTTTCGTGTGAAAAAATTAGTATAGGGCGACTGATCGATTAATTGACTAATTGGAAATAAAATATGTATAATGTTAATTATATACACTGCTTTTTAATTTACATTATCGAATGTAAATTGGATTATACACCGCAAAAATACTTGACCGGCCGCTCTTGCTCCCGGCTGCTTGCCAATATTATTAAGGTGAGCGCCGATTTGGTAAGCGCCATGTTTACGCGATACATCAATCGACGACGGCGAACAGACTTGCACGTCGATGATGCTCGTTCAATTAAACATTTCAAGCTAATTCCGGTCTATGCGATGCATATGTATGCGCGTGCATATACGCTTCATAGTGTATCCGGCTATATGCTAATCGTGCGTGCTTCCAAGTTTACTCGTTTGCACAACCAGAAAGAACGCGAACGTGATCTCATGCTACACGCGTTCTACTTAAAGACGGTGATGCGATATCCGTTCATATTAACGATAACCTGCCGAAGAAATTTTTCATTTTATTTTGAAACGTTATTGATTTTTCCATCGATATCTGTCGAAAGATATCGATTTTTTTTCTACTAGGTAAATAATACAGGGCTGCGAGCATTAATACGGAAATAACCGATATTATAATTCGTCAGATCGTTGTACTTTGTCGGTTTATTTGATTATGCCAGGCAATATATTGTACGAATTTACGCTATTCAATACATTGTCAATTCATTCATATTGACACATTTGTCAAAATTGATCAATTATTTCGATTAAGATTAAGCACATTAAACATATACTCGTAGCGAATTAACTAGTATGCGATTCTGTAATAATTAACAATATTAATCTAGCAAAATACATATTGCCATCAATCTTTTTATTTCTTTGATTAATATATATATATCATGACATTCAACAAAGTATTGATTATCCGCGAATACCGATAACGGTCTGTAAACTGTCGATACCTGAGGTACTATTCATAATCGGTTATTATTCGACGATTATATAATCAACACAGTTATACAATCCTACGTACAACCATCAATCTGCTGCTTATACCTTACAATAATTCATAATAATCTTCAAATAATCTCGAACTCAGGAAATGCCGCTTCATAAATACTGATTAACTCGATCATCTAAAAGATTAATTCATCATTGAAAGATTGATAAACGAAAGATTTAATCGCATTAGTAAGATAGCGCGACAGGACGATGAGTTCTAAATATGTATAATAATTTGTGTAACAGAGATTCATGATGTACTGAGCGGAAACTGAGCGATAATTTATTATGATTTTAATCACAAAGACTGAAAATAATACGTAATTATTCTCAAGTAATTCGTGTAATGCGTATCGTATAATGAATTCTATCAATAAGTAATGTTTTTTTACAGATAATCATTGGAATATTTAACGTAACATAATCTTGCTATATAGCAATGATAGAAAATTTAGTAAATAAAATGCATATATAATGCTATTTACATGAATATCTATATAAAAAATGGTATTTATCGATGGTAAGATGATTCATTATTTTCATATTATCATATTTTTAGTTAATAAATTATTTGCATTACAACTATCTGTCAATTGAAATTTAGCACTATTTACAACAGTTCAGCACATATTCAGCATTATCATTGTTATAACTTGTCCTTTCCTCCTATCGACATATGTACATAATTATATCTATTACCGGTGATATTATTATTCGGTAAAATTAGCAATCGATTATGTATTAATATTATCTGTAATATCATTGCAGTAGGTAAATTTCTTGCAAATGCATAAATATTATACTCACAGTTATTTTCAAACCGTATTTTGTGCATTCTTCATATTCATTTTATTTTTTATCTTTTATATTTCTGTTCCTGTATCTCTATCATTAATAAACCGTTTCAATCCTGTTGATTTCAAATAATATTTTAGATAATTCATAATCATCATTTAAATAATTCATTCTAATCTCTTAGTTCGATCACATTACTGTTCGATAATGCTCTGGTGGTTCGGAGGGAACGTCTTAGGGAATATATAGTAATACACTTTCTCCCAAGTTACTTCCATGTGATGAAATATACAATAGCAATAACCGCTTCGTATATTCAGCCGATTAACGTAAAGGAAGTGG